AGTTGAAAATTGTCAGAGAGTGGGTATGACAACAGAGCCGGCAAGCTCAGAAATAGAATCATCCTTTATTAATGGAAATTACAGGGATGATGCTTTCTCGTTGAGGGATTCTTTCACTGCTCTGAGAAGCTGGGGCATCAGTTTCTGGTTTGTGACAATAATGCCGGAGGCAACATCGAGATACCTTCCTTTTGAAAAGTCCAGAGGATTTCCTGCAGCATCCGTGGCAATACCTCCAGCCTCTACACATGTTCAATAGTCAAATTAATCATGCACACGCGAAATAATATACGCAGGATCAACCATCAAACCTTTTGAATAGACTGAATTAAATTAACAACTTGGTCCTAGATTGTTATGACACTTTCAACTTTAGCCTCCAACCATTTGTAACTGGCCAAGTTAGCATATGAATATAATAAATTCGAGGCATGCTAATCATTTTGTCAAGCAATCCGAAGATGGCAAGAGAGTTAATATCAAACGAGCATGTTACTTTTTGAAGCCTAAGTACTAAATAATTCCAGTTATCGTAAGGCTCAAGTCTTATGAGGAACATATTCAGGAAACTGGATGTAGCAACATACTGACCAACACATTCAACCTTCTAGACATTATTTCTTCAATTTTATTTTATTTTATTTTTTTGGCCTGATCTAGGGATGATTGAATGACTCAAATTTCTACCTTATGGAGAGCACACGCGCACAGACGAACTAAGGACGACTATAAGATGAAAGGAAAGGATTATAAAATTTACACACCAGTCACAACAATGCAGCCAGCAGCATGATCCCATATCTTTTCACGGTATCCCTTGTGAGGAAAACGCAAATATATAGTCCCATCTCCTCTTGACAGTGCTCCATATTTTGCTTGGCTGTCAATTCTAACTGGTGGCACCTTGACGCCAAGTTTCTGTTCATGAATTAATCATGGCATTGTAGGAATATCAGAAGATAACGGCTGATAGAAGGGGAAAAAAGGGCATGGTAGATTATATGAACGACATTACTTCCGCAATAGACTTTGACAAGTCATGAGAGGAGTGTGCAGCTTCAACAGATTCAAAAAATGACGCTTCTTCTGGATTCTCAGTTGCACTGACATGCACCTGGATAATGATAGCAAGATACTTAATCTCAGCACCATAATTAATGACATGTCAATAGTATCATTCTATAAGCACGAACCCTAGTTTTTGAGGAACCATCCAGAGTCTGCATATATGCACCCTCGCCAACTGTGGCAAAGAAAAGACAACCAACTTCATTACCAGAATGCTGCTGATTATTACCAATAGACGCCAGCGGAAGATTTGGACAAGCCAAGACTCCCAATACGACTTTCCCTTCATGCAACAAAGCTAATGCTATAGCATATTGGTCTCCCCGAAGAAACCTACAATGTCATCATACAAGCATGAGCTACTTGGTGGTCATAAGCACAATAACAGAACTGTAACCGTGAAAATTAAATAAAATGGCATTACAGAACAGCAACAAGAAAGAAAGTGTTCACCTCAATTTAGTTTTGAGGATACTTACCCTTTAGTGCCATCTATGGGGTCCAAAACCCAGTGCCGACCATTAGAACCTCCTTCAGACTTACCATTGTCAATGGCTCTAGTAATATCTTCTGCTGTTAAAGTAGAAAAACCATCTAATCCTTCACTTGCTAAAGTATCATTCACAAGTTCTGTAATGCGCTTCAGTGTTTCTTGACCACTCTCCTCTCGAAGATCCCCAGAATCCTAGATTTTAAGACTGAATTTCATATTCAAGAATAGAAAAAGAAGAATCTCCATGTTCAAGGAGAGCTTAGAAATTCACCTCCTCAGCTACTAGTGAAAATGGTTCAGCAGGAAGTTCTCTCTCAAGTACAAAGCTAACCAAGGCTTGTGACCCTGAAAAATAAAAAGTAAATTTGAAATTTGCTATAATTCATTGATGGAAAGAGTGTAGCAGGTCACAAGCAATCAAAATGGCAAACAGCTACAAAGAGTTCGAAAAATAAGCTTCCCTATTCTTGGCTTATGAATAATGCGGTTTGTTGAAATTTTTGTATTATATTAGATTAGCTCAGCCACATAAACGATTATAAGGAAAAAATTCATTTTAGGATCAATATTAAAGGTTATGGTTAGACAGCAGTACGATATACGTAATTCAACTTACCATAATCAGCCACGGTAACGGGACTCTTATCTGATTTCGAATGGACATCAGATTGCAGCAGAGCCTTTTGCACTTTCTGGACAAAACCATCAAAAGTAGCAATGAGAACAGCAAGAGAGAGACAGAGAGAAAGAGAGGAGAAGGGATACTGAGAAAGAAAAGAACTTCAATACTTCAAATCAATCTCATTATGAATTTAGATTGTTTTACCGGCTGTCTCCCATCCGTATCAATATGCTGCCAGTTTGACCCACTCTTAACCTATCCCTTCACTAACTAACTAGCAGATATTGAGGATCATATCAAGCAGAACCAGTTTCAATTACTATGTCGCCACTTTCACATTCAATCTAAGAATCCAAAGTGTAAAATTACATCTAAATTAAGCAATTTTAAGCGAAAATGATTTCAGATTCTCAATCATGTTCAAAATTGCCATTAAAGCATCCAAATTTCCAATTTCTTTTTGGGTGGGCTCCCAAGTTTCGATCCCCAGTTTTAATTCGAATGATGAACAGAATATGAATGAGGAAGAGAATGGAAGAATGCCTGGCAGAGGCGAGCAGCAAGAGTGGCTGCTTTCTTAGCAGCGGCGAGCTCCTTCTCGTAAGCCATCGAAGATGCAATAACCCCTTGTGAAGGAGAAGAACTGAACCTTACTGCGAAACGAGAGAAATTGATAGGTCTTTTGAATTTGGCCTCGCCGCTGCAGTAATGAGTTCTCAAGTTGAGCGCACTCAAACTGCACAAGGCCATTTTTCTAAATTTAACCTAATAATAATAATAATCGAATGCCTTCTTTTCAATTATTTGCTCACACAGCCCCCCTCCGTACATTACGCTGGACGCTCATTCGCCTTTTCCTCTCAATTGTTATCTACTTTTCGATTGTTCTTTCCGTGTCTACCTTCCTTTTTCCTTTCCATGTGTTTCTTATCTATTTCGAAACGATGGAGGCCTATTTTCTCCACGCCCAATTCTACTGGCTAAATAGTTCAAAATTTTTCATTGCTTTGCATCTCAATCATTAAATTAAATTTAAATAGTTTAGACTTAATAGAAATTTATTATCAAATATTAAATGACAAATTAAAATAAATTCAAATTATTAAAAATTAATCTCAACTAAAATGTTTCATAAAATAAGTTTATTTTTTTTATAAATACTTGGACTATAATGCTAATTAGGAATGACAATTAATTAGCTGAGAACCTCTGCTGAAACTTTAAAATTTATAACTCAAATTTTATGTTTACAACTTAAAAGTTCTTATTTCAAATTAATTTTTTTAAGTTTCTTAAACATTTTCTAATAAGAATCCCTTATTCAATAAAAGACAATTACGAACCAAAATCCTATAATAATTTTCTTTTTATAAAAGAAAAGTATATGCTTAATGTTCGTATTAATTAATTGGAGACATATATACAGCGTATGGCCCAAAAAAAAAAGGCGACATCATATAGAGCGACTTCTAAAAATCAAAAGCTTAGTTCTATATAAATGGCAAAAACTCAATTGCAAATTATATAAGAAATCTCATTTTCGAATGTTTATATTAGTTGGCTTTAATATCTAGAAGTTTAGATGAAAGCCAAGTGGAAGCTTAATTACTCCTCCGGTCCTAATTATAAGACCCAATTGACTTATTTGAGGAAATTAAGGAAGTAAGTTAAGTTGGTTATTTATAATAAATAAGTGTTGTCATTCCTAAAATATCCTTGCTAATTAAGTATATTGGCTAAAACTATCATTATTAGAAGGATTATCTTGGAAAAAAATGCATAAATATAAGAGATAAAATGGATTGGGTCTTATAATTAGGACCAAATAAAAAGTCAAATTGGGTTTTATAATAAGGACCGGAGGAGTATATTTGCAACTCAACTCATGATTCTTGCTAATTAAACTTTTGGCTTCTGCCGTGTTTTAAGCATAAGGTCCTTAATTGTTATTTATTGGATTGGAGATTATTAAATGTCATTATTTTTACTATTAAGGGCACTCATTTGTCATTTACCCTTATTATTAGGATGATGTGATGCACATGTATGTTCATCGTCATGCCTTGCCTACCCTAAAGTTGAAACAGTAGCTGTAACGAGGTGTTTGGCAAGCAATTATGAACTACTCCTCCGGTCCTTATTATAAGACCCAATTTGACTTTTTATTTGGTCCTAATTATAGGACCCAATCCATTTTGTCTCTTATATTTATGCATTTTTTTCCAAGATAATCCTTCTAATAATGATAGTTTTAGCCAATATACTTAATTAGCAAGAATATTTTAGGAATGACAACACTTATTTATTATAAATAACCAACTTAACTTACTTCCTTAATCTCTCCAAATAAGTCAATTAGGTCTTATAATTAAGACCGGAGGAGTACTATTTATCAATGATATAAATGAGTTTTTTTATTATAAAAATAGAAAAACTTTGTCCCCCCCCCCGGGGTATAATAATCATGGCAGGTAAGCCATATCTCCTTTTTGGAATCCAAGCTGTCTCCCTCGTCTTTGTTCGTCATTCCAACAAGGCACGAGCAAAGAAAACCCCAGCTCAAACCCTTCTTCAAGATGGTGATGAAGACCAGGATAATGACTAGGATGACAACCAAGAACTTAGTTATTTTATGACAAAAACCTTAAATTGCAGGTGGCAATGGCGACGGTAATTGCAACTGCATCGTGAGGAAATTATGATGAGTACGTAGAGAGGAGCGAGGTAAAATTGCAATGAGAAGCGCAATCTGAAGAACAAGTTCAAGGATTTTGAAGAAATATAATTTAATAAAGATCGATCAAGAAGAAGAAGAAGATGATGAACAGGACGAATGAAACAATCTCAGGAGAAAATGCGTCGGATGATGCAATAGTTTGCTATCTACCAGCAATGATCACAACATTTAGTGTTTGGAGAGGAGATAATCCTTTGAACTACACCCTCCCTCTTTTCGTCGTCCAATTAATTCTAGTTATTGCCGCCACTCGTCTCTTCGTCTTCCTCCTCAAACCTTTTCGCCAACCTCGTGTTGTTGCAGAAATCTTGGCATGGTTTCTGCATATTTATATTTCACAGTTCCTCTCAGCAGACACATGCAAATGATCTCTTCATGATTTTGAATCTGCAGGGTGGATTGCTACTAGGTCCCTCGTTTCTTGAACAAAATGAGACATTTGGAAAAGCGATATTCCCTCTAAGCAGTGTGTTGATAGTAGAAACAATGGCCAACGTAGGCTTAACTTATCTCCTTTTCTTAGTCGGCCTAGAGATGGACATTTCAGCCATAGAACGCACTGGAAAAAAGGCCTTATTTATTGCTATTTCTGGCATGGTCTTGCCCTTCATTGTTGGGGCGTGCTTCTTCTTCTTCCACAACCATAACCCAATTATGAACCATGGAACCAACATTCTCTTCCTTGGTGTTGCCCTCTCCGCCACCGCCTTCCCGGTGCTTGCCCTGATCCTCGCCGACTTTAAGCTTCTCAACACCGACCTAGGGCGGCTTGCCCAATCAACTGCCCTTATAAATGATGTTTGTGCCTGGATCCTCCTTGTTCTTGCCATTGCCCTCGCCGGATCCAACAAAGCTAGTAACCCATGGGCTTGCCTCTGGGTGATCCTCTCAAGCATGGCTTACGTTGTTATGTGTTTCTACGTTGTCAGACCAGCAATGTCATGGTTCTTAAGTGGAACCCTAGATGTAGAATCCTTCACTGACTCCCAGATATGTGTGATTGTGACTGGTGTTATGGTTTCAAGCTTCATCACAGATGCGATGGGGACACATGCCATTTTAGGAGCTTATCTCTATGGTTTAGCAATTCCAAGTGGAACTATCGGAGTTACAATTATAGAGAAGCTTGAGGACTTTGTGTCAGGCCTCCTTTTGCCTCTGTATTTCGCCATTAGTGGCCTTAAGACTAACATCACAGCAATCCATGGAATCACCAAATGGGCTGGTTGCTTACTGGTTATTCCTCTCGCTTGTGCCGGCAAAGTCTTGGGTACCGTCCTTGTTTCTCTCTTCTTCCACATTCCAGCTCGTGATGGTGTCATTCTTGGCCTTCTCATGAACACTAAAGGCGTCATCGAAATCACTGTGCTTAACATCGCAAAGGAGCTAAAGGTACATGCACAAACCTTAGACCTAGCTATTAGTTCCAACCATCTTAGGTTGTATCTGTAATATTCCTTCCAGTCCTAAATATAAGACTCTTTTTATAGTGTAATTTACACTACAAAAAGGGTTCTATATTTAGGACCAATATAAGACTCCTTTTATAGTGTAATTTACACTATAAATATAAGACTCCTTTTATAGTGTAATTTACATTACAAAAAGGGTCCTATATTTAGAACAAGAGGAGTATTTAATTATCTTAATCTTTGTTATCCGTCTGTGTGTTGTATATATGCAGGTGATGGGGGATGAATCATTTGCGATGGTGGTGATTGCTACTGTGGTGATGACAGGTCTTATTGCACCCTTTGTTACAGTAACTTATAAGCCGACAAGGAGGTTCATTCCTATCAAGAAGAGAACAATCCTGGGTTTAAGACATGACGCAGAACGAAAGTTCATGGTATGTGTTCACAATCCCAGAAATGTTCCGTCAATGCTCAACCTTCTTGAAGCTTCCCATCCCACCAAGAAATCTCCTCTCTCTATCCACGCCCTCCACCTCGTCGAACTCACCGGTCGGATCTCCGCCATGCTCGCTGTCTGGGCCACTAGTGAGTCCGGCCACCGCCACGTCGGCGTCAGTGGAACACCAGAGTCCGACCACATCGTCAATTCCTTTGAGAACTTTGAGGAAAATATCGACAACGTATCCATCAATTATTTGACAGCGGCGTCCCCATACTCCACAATGCATCAAGATATATGCAGTTTGGCAGAAGACAAAGGGGCTTGCGTCATCCTCATCCCTTTCCACAAACAACAAGCCGTAGATGGAGAAATGGAAGAGACCAACCCAGCCTTGAGAATGGTGAACCAGAAGCTTCTGGAACATTCTCCTTGCTCCATAGGAATCCTCGTCGACAGGGGCTTCAATTCTTCCTCCAGATTAAGCTCAAACCATTTAGCTTGCGCTTTTCTTCACGTCGCCGTCTTGTTCTTTGGGGGGCCACATGACAGAGAAGCCCTAGCTTACGCTCTGTGGATGTCAAAGCAGCCCGGGACTTTTCTCACGGTGACCCACTTCATCGCCGGCCCCGCCACCATCATAAAACCACCGTCCGACGATGAGGACGAGTTAAACATACACAGTGGGAAGGAGAAAGAGAAGAACGAAGAGTACATGAGTTATTTCAGAAAGAAAACCGGAAACATGGAATCAGTGGTTTATGTGGAGAAAGTTGTGAACAATGGAGAAGAGACAGTTTCAGCGTTAGGGGCGATGAAGAACGGGTTTAATCTGCTGATAGTGGGGAGAGATCAAGGGGTTTCTCCATTAACAGATGGGCTAATAGATTGGAGCGAGTATCCAGAGTTAGGCGCCATAGGAGACTTATTAGCTTCGTCTGATTTTGGAACAACGGCTTCAGTTTTGGTGATGCAGCAATACGTAATAGAAGAAGGCGAGAGTAATGCCAGTGATTAACGCCAGATTATGCAGAAACATTTTGGAAGACATACCATAATGAAAGAATAATAGCCTTTGATTATTACTAATTCAATTAATTAATGGTTCCTCGCCTCACTGTGTGCGTACATATAATGACCTTTTTCTCTCCCTCCTAGTAACTCTTGTTGCAAGTTAATCATGGGAAGGAATAGAGATATTAATTTTGAAACTTTTTCTTTCGAGATCATCAGAGATTAATTAAGTCAAACCAAAACATAGATAAAGAGAAGAGGATGTATATGTTACATAGAAAATTTTAATTTTGATATGTTAAAAATGTTGGAACTTTTCTCTTTTGAGATAATTATTTATTTTTAATTTTAGTCAAACAGAAAAATAGGTAAAGAAAATAAATGTTGTATATCAGATTTTGATTTGACCTTAATTATTTTCCATTAAAAATGTTGAAAGTCACAATTGATCCCTATGACGGAATTTTCTTCTATTTAAATTTTGTGAAAACTAATCATTTAAAAAATATTTCGAATTATATTTTTTTTAATTTTTCATGATCGTCTTTTTAAATTATGATATTGGACCTAGTAAGAGTTTATAATAATCCTAGTCCTAATCCTAATCCCTAAAAGAAAATTATTTCATAATTATTAAACTACATACAAGTTAGAGAAACTAATTTTTGAATAGTTAATTATTATTGTAAACTAGCAAGGTGAATTGGCAGTTTTGACCAATACATTAAAAAAAAAATTAAAACACACACTTTAAAGGCAATAAGTATATTACTTAAAGGCAGCAATATAAACTCAAAATATTTGTATTAAAAATATTTATATAAATATAATTGCTTCCAATCAAATCATGATATTGAATTTTTTATGTATTATTTATCATATAACAAAAAAATTATATAGAATTGACTTTTTTGGTTTAATTAGAAAAAGGTATATGGACTATATAGGAATAAAGAATAATAAATAGTTCATAAACTTCAATTCAGTATGTACAACTTAGTGTAGTTGGCAAATAAAAAAAACTTGTTGGAGTTTATTAAGTTGGTACTAAATTATAAAAATTAAGTTGTATTAAAGTCAAAAAATTATTAGGATTGAGTTGTTCTGAATTAAGAAATTATAAACCGAATTGCTTTTACACCTTAGTTGACCCCCACGTACGGCGGCATAGAATATGATTTTCAATCAATGAGAATAAATCAAGAAATTAATTACAGAAGGCGAGGCTTTTTTGTGGCGAAATGTTGAAAAATTATGCCGTCTTTGCAGTGCCTTTTTTTTCCCCCCTTTTTTTAAAATAGCTTCATGGGAAGTTCATTTCTGAGCCCAAAAAAATTGTATAGTTTGACTTTTCGATCCTCTATTGCCAAGTCCGTCAAAAAAAATACATCTACTTATATATAAATATATATACATATAAGTGTTTTAAGTAAAAATTTAATTTATTAGATATCTTTGGGCCATAATATTTATTGTATTAATTAAAACAACGTGATTTTAAGCAGGCCTACATGTGATAAGGCTAGTTAAGGAATCTCCCATTTACCCTCGAACCCAAGAAAAGAAATATAATACAGAGGTGTTTGAATAGAAACCAAATCATGATTTTATAAGTGATTTTATAATATACGATGTAAATATGTGAATGAATTTACCTCTATTTGCAGAAAATCTAAACACCCCTTATATAATTAGTATTTTGATTTTATACTAGTCAAAGATACTTACAGCCTAAAAAAAGAAAATGATACTCCTCTGATTTTAAATATAAGACCTTTATATACACTATATAAATGTCTTATATTTAACCGGAAGAGTATCATTTTCGAAGTTCAAGTTGAAAAATGTGTCATGATGACAGCCGATAATATTAGTCATTAGATAGACCTGATCTTTCATAAATCTGCTCCGACAAAGACAAACTAAAAATTCATGACCATCAACATAATCTTACATATAATAATAAAATTTAAAAAAAGTACAATACTTAAATTAATTTCCTTATACTCCCTCCAGTCCGCAATACAATTAATAACTGTTCGTGAGTTAAAAAAAAATAGTTAACTTATTAAATATGTTTCGAATTAAAATCTTTTTTCAACTTTATCCATATTAAATGAGGTTATGAAGAAAAGAGAAAAACATAAGGAATTATTCTTATAGTTCTAATTATTAGACACTTCCAACATATTTTATACATATCAAGAAAAATCTTTAAATGTATTGACTCTCTATTAAAATATAACAACTTTTCAGCGTTACCTCTATTTAATATACATTCATTTCAAAAAATAATTATTTACATTATAATAAATGAAAGAAAAAATAATACATGCATCCTAAAAATTTAATAAAGTGATTTATAAATAAGACCAAGAAAAATCTCCTCTCTCTATTTTATAAATAGGATCAAAGAAGTAAATCTAAGCATTAATTGCAATGACAAAATTAACAAATAAGTATTAATACTCTTAATTTATATTTTGGACCAAGCCATCTTTTAGAAGTGTTTTATATTGTGGACTGGAAGTATATATAATTTTAAGTTCTTTAACTACACATGGTCATGTCCATGTGCCCTATTTTTCAAATATTATTATTTGCTTATAAACCTACATTAAAAAATAGGCCAAGTATCCATATGTGTGACACATAATTGATATAAACAACTTCATCTACGTACTTTTCATTAAAAATTACACTATTAATAATTTGACTTAGTTTAGATTTTGTTTTTACATTTTCTTTAACATATGTTTCCAAAAATAAAATCATTCGCCAACTCGTAACAACCAAAAATAAAATAAAATAAAATATCGGGAGTACACTTTGTACCCAACAACAGGGCCATATGGGAGGCTGAAGTCTTTTCTTTCAATCATTATCCATAAAAATAAATCAAATATTTATTATTATTAAGTACAATATAATCAATGCATCCAAAAAGTTCTCCACCTAACAGTGAATTGAAAACAAAATCATATGACTTGAAATATTGGTTGCGACTTTCACGGTTCTAACCTCTTAACAGCTACCTCAATTATTAGCATCCCTTTGAGTCTCGAACTAATCAAATAGGATAGAATTATATGGTGAAACAATATTTAGGGAGTGTTCGGATAGAAACCAAATCATGATTTCAAAACTGTTTTTATGGTTTATGAAGTAAATATGTGGAGAAATTTGTCTCGTTTTACAGAAAAGTACTTCTCAGAAACACTTTTACAGGTTGCCAAACACCCTCTAATCTTTTTTCCTGAATGGTGAAATTATTTAATTTTGCTCAAATTAATAAGGTTAAATTAAAAAATATCAGTTAAGAATTTACTTCGCTTTTCTTGCTCGTTTACTTTTCTTCAATCCAAACATAAATTATTTTATCAGAGTATCGATGCCAATAATATTATTCAACATTTATAAAATTTATATAGAATTGCATTTTTTATTGAGTTATATGTAATGTAGCTTCTGTTATACTCCATGCAAATTTTTAATTCTTATTTCATTCCATCTCTTTCTATATGTTTGAATAATTTATATATGACAGCAAAACAATAAGTAAAATATTTCAAAAACTAATTAAATTGTTATAAATCCGTGTGAGTTTCACACACACACAAAGATATATAATTTTGAAATAATGAAATAATTTCAAAAATCATTTTTACCCCATCTAAATATATCCCTACTATTTATAACTAAAAAAAAAAGAATCAGTGTGTTTGACAATTTGAATTAAGCAAGAAGGAATATAACAGCTAGGCGTTAGCATGTAGTTTTCAAGAACAAATTGCAAAACAAGCAACTAAGATAACAGTCAATGTCTCAATGAAAGCTTTATCCTTCTTTTTTATTAGTAACCACGAAATGAATCTGTATATGGTGTATTACGTACAATATAACAATGCAAATAATAAAATTAAGTTTTATAGGTAATCATACTTTGGTAAATCGCTCCTTGAATTATATACAGCTGTTTAATTAACTGTAGATAATTCAATTAATTAGGCACATATGCTAGGTTTGACAAAACTGTGACATGATACACTAAATTGCGACCTCCTCATTTTGTTTGTATACGCACAAAATAAGAACAATTGAAGCGACAATAATCATTAGTTTTTTATACTCCTCCGGTTCTAAATATAAGACACATTTCATAGTATAAATTACATTACAAAATAGGTCTTATATTTAGGACCGGAAGAGTACATGTGTGTGTGCATATTATTGAATTTTGACTCTCAGGATGCAATTACTTAAATAGTGAAAGCAACAGCAATTAATAGTAAGAACAACATTATCCTGTTTTTTTTTTTTTTTTAATTGAAGGGTAACATTATGTGCTATTTGATATTGCATCCGGTTCATAATATAAGAAGTCTCCTGAAAGAAAACTCTGGTCCAAAATGTAAGAGATTTACAAGGTAAATCAAGGATAGTTTTTCGCTTTTATCTCTTGTTGTCATGAGAGGAAGGAGTTTTAAATTACTCCTCCGGTCCTTAATATAAGACTCATTTGACTAATTTGATTAGATTAAGGAAGTTAGGTAAATTAGTTAATTATAAGAAATGTGACATATTTTTCCTAAAACACTATGATTATCTTTCTTAATACATTTCTCCCTCTTCTACTTGATTATGGTTTAGGGAATATCTATAGGGGTAATTTAGAGAAAATTGATAAATATGAGAAATGGGTCTTATATTTAGGATCAAAACCTACTCAACAATTGGGTCATATATTAAGGACCGGAGGAGTATCATATTATTAAATAAGAGTAAAATAAATAATCTTTGAAAGAATCGTTGAAGGGCATATCTTTAACTTAATCCACAAGTGTTTCAACTTTTCAACATAATTTCAAATTTTAAATCTTTTTATTATGATTACACTTCAATCTTTTCGCCTCATTATTTGAGGCATAATTGTACGTAATACATGGTTTAATTAATATACTTGTCTGTGTGAGGGGGAGAGAGAGAGACCTAAGTGTGTGTGAG